GAATGTGAAAGAATGTCTATAACTTAGACTCCTCGAGGTATATAACTACAGGTACTATAGCTAGATCACAGGGTAGCTCATTTTAGTTCGTTTGCTAGTTTGTTTGTTTTTACTGATTTCCATAGGGAATGGATTTACTTTCCCACCAGCACTGAATAAGGGTTCCTTCTCCTATCTCTCTCGTCTTGCCTAGCATTTGTTGTTTGCTTTCTTGATGATAACCATTCCGACTGTGGTGAGATAGAACCTCCTTGTAATTTTGATTGGCCTTTTCCTGATAGCTAAAATGATAAACATTTTTCCATACATTTCCTGGGTGTTTGTCTATTCCATAATTCTTATCTCTTAACATTTTAGGACTTCAGATGTAGGCTCTATAGGAAAAGAAATGCCTCCAGAGAGCTTATTGTCCATTCAAAACCTTTTTTCTTTGGGCTAAACATCAAATCCAGAGAATGAAAAAAAAAGAGGACTTTTTTCAAATGTCTCTGCTTTCTCTGGATCATTTCTTTTGTTAGAGTTCAGTATTGTCTTTGTAATTTTACTACCTATCTATTGATTGGCCAGTCCGCTGGAGACAATAGGGCTACATTCTAAAATTTAAATGTGAAACAGATGTGCACTACAGCTGCATTGTGAGGTGCTGGGTATGCACAGATAGACAGGCATGCACAGCTCCCCATTCTGTTTTCAGCTCCTTTATATCTGCAACCCACTACCTACTTGGTCGGTAATAAGCTTTGAATATCATTTAGAAAACAGAGTAAAAGCTTTGCTAGCAATGGTTTCAGTAGCATATATGTGTCTGACTTCCTGTTCTTCCTTTGTTCCCTGGCGATTAAGCTTGCTGTGTAAGAGAGGAATTAGTAACGAAGGCGCTTCTGAATCCCAGTTCGTCCCTTTGATTAGCATCTTTTCTTCTAACATATGGTGAAACAACGAGCAATGATTGTGGTTTCAGATCTAAAGAATTATCCTGTTTGTTCATTCCTGGAACCTGAAGCAAGCATCTGGTGGTTAGAGCTTCCAGAAATAACAGAAAGAAATGAAAGAAGACAAAAAGCACCTTAGCGCCCCTGGGTGAAAACGTGTAGCCAAGATTAAGCCGCAGTTTAAGTTAGTCCATCCTATTAAAAGGGAGGAGAACCTGGGGAGGTGGCTGCATGGAACTCTGAGGACCTGAGTTCCAATTCCCAGCCTGCACATAAAGCTGAGTAAGGCAGCATGCATCTGTAATCCAAGCACACCTGCATGAGTTGGGAGATGGAGACAGGAGAAACCCCAGAAGCTTGGGAGCCAGTTAGCTGGCTGTGCCTCGCCAAACAATAAAGAGACCCTGCCTGAAATGAGTTAGAAGATGAGGGCTGGTACCTGTGGCTGTTCTCTGACCTCCACGTGTGTGCCACACACATGTGCTATGACACATGAGCACCCTCACTCACACACACACAAGCATGCACACACATACACACTATACACAAATACAAAAGATAGCTAGACCTCTACTTCCTTTTATGTAGGAAATAGAAACCATGCCCTAGGCTGAAGGGTCTCTCCCTTTTGCCTAATCTTACAACTAGAAATAAACTATATCTAGTGTTTCTTATCAGAAAAAGAATGTGCTTTGAATATTTCCTTATCTCTATCACATGTGAGCTCAGAAGCATCCCAGTTTCTACCCACTATTAGATTCATGCATTTCGTTACTTAAAATTATATTTTCTACATTAAACGTCTGTCCCATTTTTTTCATATTTTATTTTAAGATTATTCTGGCTCACACTTTCCATTTCCAGACAACACTGGGCAAAGAATTTCAAATAAAGATATGCTGTTCGTTTTGTGGTGGCATTCATTTGAACAAGTATTGAAAGGGGTTCTTTTTTTTTTTTTAAATTGGGGTAGTATAATATTTAGTCTGCTGGATTTGCCATGAGAAAATACCCCAACTGGGTGTCCTAAACACAAGAAATTTTTTTCTTTGTAGTCCTGGAGTCCAATACCAAGGTGTCAGCCATTCTGGCTCTTCTGGAAGCTTCTCTGGCTCATAGACAGCTGGCTGCTTGCTGAGGGTGTCCTCACATGGCCTTCTCTCTGTGCCTGCAGATTCTTTGCGGTCTCTTCATCCTCCCGTAGGGACACCAGTTATACTGGGTTACCCCCTGATGACTTGATTTAACATGCATTACCTTCTCTTTAAATTTCTCTTAAGAGAGTCACACTGTGGGTTAGGGCTTCAACTCAGGAATTTGGAGTAAGCACAGTTCACAACAGGTAGCAATGCAGCTTGTCCAATGTTTTTAATATCTTCCCTTCGGGACGAAAAGAAAATCTCAAGAAGGAACATGATAGATTTCACATTTACATGGGAAAGTTGTTTGAAATACAAATTTGTATGCATATGCGAATCACTTGAATAAGGATATCATTTACAAGTCAATGGGTAAATGAACATAAAGTCATCATTAGCTGCTGTTTTGCACTACCCCATAGAACACACTAAGACTTAACAAACGCAGAGACAAGTAGGTAAGACCAGCTTCCTGGGAGTATCACTTAATGTTCAATGACAGCATTTACAACATCTTATTTTTCGTGCATTTGCCTAGGGTTTGCCAAATGTCACAAATCAAAATACAGAATGCATATTTAAAGTATAGTTGAATAAAGGTGATTGGTTTATTGATTTATGATAAATGCCGGACGTGTTTGATAGTAGGGACACACTTTTCAAAAGAAAAAAGAAAAAGCTCCTCCATGGAGTATATATACCCTAAAAAAATTATTTGCTATTTATCTAGAATTCCAATTTAACTGTGGGTCTGTGGGATTTGTTGTTTGGTTGGTTGTTTTTCTGGCAAATTTACATTAGATTAAAGATTGAATCTTTTGGGGGTGTGGGATATATGTGGAGAAGGGTTCATCAGTTAAGAATGCTTGCTGCTCTTCCGGAGGATCAATGTTCAATTCCCAGCATCCATTTCTGGCCACTCACAACCATCAGTAACTCCAGCTCTAGGGTACCAGAAACTCTCAACTGGACTCCACGTTACCCTCACACACGGCACACACAGAAAACACACACATACATACACACACACAAAAAAAAAAAAAAAAAAAAAAAAAAAAACACAAACAATTTTAAGGGAAAAAAAGATGGCTCTGCCGGGCGGTGGTGGTGCACGCCTTTAATCCCAGCACTCGGGAGGCAGAGCCAGGTGGATCTCTGTGAGTTCGAGGCCAGCCTGGGCTAAAGAGTGAGTTCCAGGAAAGGCACAAAGCTACACAGAGAAACCCTGTTTCGAAAAACACAACAACAACAACAACAAAATGTATGACTATCCCTGTCCCACCTCCACACCCAATTAAATTGCTTTAACTAACTTCATAAATGTGATTTTCTGATCTTTGTTCGATGGTTTTTAAAAGACCTCTGTCCTAAAGCACAGAAACCCAGGCTCAGGCTCCTGTCCAAACTGCTACATGATATATGACTATAATATGTCACGTTAAATATTAATATTAGTTACGTGCCCAGCTCTCCAGCTGAAGTATTTACGCTTCTCTAACAACACCCTGTCATGCCGTCTGTATGATTGCACTAGTAGGCTTCAGATACTAAGGATATCAATTGTTTCTTTCTGAACACTAGGCTGCTCACTGTTTTGTAAAACAAGAGGATTGGATTCAAGGTGTTTTTCCCAAGGGTCCTAACAATTCCTCTCCAGGCTTCTCTGAAATGAGGGTTCCACTAATTCTCTCATTTGCCGTATGAAGGCTAAATGGCTCCTACTTCAAATTAATCCTTTTTCTCTTGAAGTGCATAGTGCTTCGATTGTTAAATAATTAAAGATTATAGTACTCAGAAATTTCACCTCTAAAAGGTAAGTTTGGGAACCCTAAATTCATCAAGGGTGAGAGAAAGTACGTAGATTTTTTTTTCTCCTCCACTCCTCCCCCACAGTCCCTTTAACACAGATTCTGTACAGATCGCGAGCTCAGATACTGTGCACATGAAAATGCTGATGATGTTGAAACAATCCCATGGTGGCGGGTTCTGACTGATGGAAATCATTTTGCTGGGAACTGAAGCCATCTCCCGGGTTAGAGTCAGTCAGGAGCAGCTCCTTGTTCTCTACCGCCATCTAGTGGCGCCGTGGTCACACACATCGACGCAACGTGGTAGTTCTGAGCTGAGATTTTTAAATATTGCTATAAATCAAATGGATGAATTGTTTTACTCTTGCCATCATAGTAAAAAGAGATTTACAGAGTGTTTCAACAGATAAAATGTAATAAATGTTAATAAAAGTTAAGTATAACACAATGACAGACATTAGCATTTAAACAGTACAAATGTGTGCAATTTAATCTCTTTATGATGTTCAGATGTAAACTTGAACACTGAAGGGAAAAAAATGCAATGTACCCTAACATGTGAAAAAATAAAAGTTATCCTACTCCTCTGCTCTTGTATGATGGTAAAGAATATTTTTTAAATAATGTAATCGTAGCTGAGAAAAAGCAACAACATAACATTCTCCCAACTGTGGAGTGGGTACAGGCTGCTCAGCCTATTTAACCATTTGTCTTCAATTAGACCTGAGCTTTAGTCTCATTATTATTTATAAACGTAATGCAGTGCTTAATGAGTGTTGAATAATATTTAGTTTTTAATGTCCCATAATCTGGAATTTCTCTAAACGGCATAATAGTGTGTTTAATTGTGTGAATCTAAAGTAAAAATAAATTTCTCTAATGAAAGAAATAAAATCTTTCAAAAGTAAGACTTTTCCCCCATTAAAGCTATTTTTCCTGAATAACCATTATGGGGGGTGGGGATTCTCACATTTTAACATTATCCCAGTTCTCTACTTTAATTTAAAGTGCCAACATTATTATCAAGTGCTCAGGGATTGCAAGCCAGAGATATTTAAAAGGAATGCCTGTGTCTTAATATACTTGTGATCCAACTGAGAAATATCCTATTTTTTGTTCAGGGTGGGAAAATCCCTATACGGTGGACAGCCCCGGAAGCTATTGCCTACAGAAAATTCTCTTCAGCAAGTGATGCATGGAGCTATGGCATTGTCATGTGGGAGGTGATGTCCTATGGAGAGAGACCATACTGGGAAATGTCCAACCAGGATGTAAGTACATGGACAGGTCTGTCATTTTGTGAGTGCAAGCACATTACCTTTGAGCGGGAAAAATCCTCTTGTAATTCCCTTTCAGATTAACCCTTGTCCTGATGGCTGTTTCACAGGGGACTGGGGAGAGGGTGGGCTTGAGAATCTGAGGAACCTTTCACTGCAGTTTACTGGGCAAGCTGGGCTTTGTTCCATGCCTGATATGCATCTTCTCTGAGACACTCTCACTGTTCTAGGGTAGCAAAACTATGCTTGCCTACAGTTACACAAAAGACAGGGTAATGTTGACATTTCATTTCTAGCACAGGGCAATACAGTGCACCACTGCAAAACCCATATCAGCCCAGGCCAGATAATACTTAGAAGAAGAGGGAATGCTTTCAGGGATGCACTATCAATAGATGTCATCTCTCAAGGTTCTTTTGAGATACATAATCTTTTGTCCAATCTCGCGCTCGCTCTCTCTCTTTTGGTTCTGTTTTATCTGTAGCAATTACGTTTGTGGTTGATAACATTACAGAAGCGAATAGTTCATACACTCAGCCTCTATGATCTGCCCACAGTCATAGAGACAGTAATCAGAATTACAGATATCCCAACAATGCAAGTGAGGGCAAGGTCAGAGCAGACAGTGTATTCTCTCACCACTGCCTCATCTCAGAACCGAGCTTTGTCTAATTAGCTTGCCTTCTTCAATGCACCCTGATGGTTTCTAAAGCTATCATGATGGGAAATGAGCGCGGATATGATTTTGACTGTCCACAGATGTAAAGATAGCTATGTGCCTGTAAATCATCCCTAAGTACACACACAGAGCATAACTACTGCAGCATCACATTCTTTTACTCCAGTTAAAAGCTGACAACCTCCTCACAAACCTCCACACCTCAGACTTTGCTAGTACATACTACAGGTTGTTCACCTTTCACAAGATTTGTTTTGTTTTGTTTGTTTGTTGAAACGGGGTCTCTCTATGTAACTCTGGCTCTCCTGGAACTCACTTTGTGTAGACCAGGCTAGCCTGGAACTCAGGAGATCGGCCTGCCCCTACTTCCTGAGTGCTGGGATTTTAGAGTCAGGCTTAAGCTTGGTTAGATTTTGGCCACTGTTGATGCTTCTACTGACATGGAGTGTTGCTTTTGCAACTGAGTCCTACTTCATTACGTGGGTTTCTACTGACTGATCATGGGTCATTCCAACACCAGATACCTATAAAGCAGCAAGGATAAGGTCACATGAGCTCCACAGTCATTGCTCTCCAAAGCACAATATCAAACACAAAGTCAGAATAGCAGGGCCCCTCAGAACATCTGGAACATCTGCTCTTACATAGAGAGTATGCTGTACCCGCAACCTCTGTGTCGTACCCAGCACTGGATCATTTTAGTGCCGTGTCATTTGGCTAGAATCCTCTATTCCCTGGAGGAGTTTTGTCTAATGTGCCTCACAGCTTTTCTTGTCACTCAGTCACTGAGCATAGGGGTGTGTGTGTGTGTGTGTGTGTGTGTGTGTGTGTGTGTGTGTGTGTGTGTGTGTGTGTGTGTAGTGGGTGTCAGCTCATCAAAACCTTTCCAGCACTTCCTGATGTTAAATTCCCAAACTGGAAACTTGTCTCTTCACTCCCAGAACTTCCACTGTATGCTATGGTTTTGTTTTATTTTTAGCACTTATTTGTACTTCCTAAAAAAACAGTTAGCAAAGCTCCTGCAAGGCCTAAGTTCAGTCACTCTAATACCTGCTTTATTCTAAACCTGAACATTGCCCCTGTTTGGACTAAAGTAAGCTGTCCAAGCAAATCCCCAGAGTCAAGTCCTCTTCAGTACCTCTCCTTGCCCAGGATCCCCTGGTAATGAGTTGTTCGTGCTTTTAGATTGTAGCCATAGTGAACTTTCAGAGCAGGTCGTGGCTGGGGAAAGCAAGGAATGAATAACTGTGACTTCTCTGTTGGTTTGTTGTTGTTCATGCAGCTTCCTGTTTGGGGCTGGTGATCTCCTGTCCTTATGGAGTTTATGTTTTAACAGTTGGGAGAGAGACTGGAAGCGAAATAAATAAGCAAAAAATATAATATGTGACCTGAAACAAAAGAGGCAGATAAGAAACTCCAGACTTGGATTTGATTCATTTTATGAAACCCTTTCATAAAAGTCATTCACTTATGGCAATGAAAGTCATAATTAGTCTTTCTTATTCATTCAGAGGGAGTAATTCTAATAAAAGCCTGACCAAGAGAAAGGGCCGTTTCCTGAGTTTCTCGATCCCTAGATTTTCTTTCCTCCTGGGACACGTTGCAGTCGCAGACTTAGCAAGCATGACCGTGATGATGTGGACTGTGGCTCAATCATGAAAGCCACTTAAACTCTGAAAGTGCCTCAGTTTCATGACTAAATAAAATGATAAAGAAATAATTAGGTTCCTGTTTAATGTGCCTTCTAATAGCAAGAGGCTATGATTTTATCTCTGAAGAGACACGGATAGCACTTATTCCAGCAAAGAAAGATCTGTGCTCTTCCTTCACTAATATAGGGTTCTCCCTATCTGTGCAGAGGTACCAAAGCCTAGACAGGACTTTCATAGGGCAGATCAGGTACAAGCAAGGATGCCAGGCCACATGATAGATTGCTGAGGAGGACAGCTTCTGTGGGGAATGACCCAAATGTACCATTTCAACTCAGACTACCAGGTAAATTGTTCTTAATTGTTGCCTAGAGTAGTCCAGACCCTGTTGTCAGCCTCTCTCTGCCTGCATTGTGCCCAACAGTTCACCCAGCAGTTCTGGCCATGGATCTTGATGATCAGCATCCAAGATGACCATTTAGAGAGTGATTTTGTCTATTAAGCCACATTTGGCTGCCTGGACTCTATCTGGAACAGGAGAAGATTTTACCGCCAGGAATCACCTCTTGACACTGAGGCTGCTCACATTTGTCCTCAGCATCAGCCTGAACTTTCCACCAAGTTCCAGAGCCAAAATAGGCTCTCAGTCACTGCAGTTTCACTGTCTTTCTGTGGGGGCCAAAGAATACTCAAGGAAGATTCTGAGAAGAGGGAGGCGGAAAGTGGGGGCTGGAGTTGGGGAGCCAAATCTTGAAGCCTTCGGATCAACACATTACTAGGCAATAGCAGAAATAGCTGAGATCTTTTATGTATCTCATGAATACCTTCCGCTGCTACAGGAAGGGGAGCTGGGATTCTGTTTAGCTAAACATATTGGAAGTTAGCATATCTGTGATGGATCCTGTAACCAGCATTTCCATTTAGAAGCAGAAATAGCTTAGTCAAAATTTCCTGACCTCTGCATAAATACTATTCCCTGTTTCTCCTGCAGTTCTCATTCGTTGAGTCAAGGTATAGGTTTACATTTGACCATTTCCATCCAAGGTGTTTTCTAAGAAAAGTGGTGAGACAGGGAACAGAAGTCCAGCTATGTCCTGTTTCAATATTGTACATGCTTTTACCGCATTTGGGTGAGTTTAACACAGCTGTGGGCACAGTTCAAATTGAACGTTACAATGTTTTAGGATTGTTAATGAGTTTAGGAAATTTCAGACAGTTTTTAGGAAATGGTTTTTCTATTCTGCAGACTATGGTGTATTTTATTACAATGAACAATTCCGAGTCTGCAGAATCTGTGTTAGTGAATAATATAATGAGTTTCCCAAAGGTCAGTGGAATTGTGCATTAGGGAAGGGAAATGAGAAGGGGAAAAAAAAGCAGAATGCACAGAACTATCCCATTAAAAAAAAAAAAAACCTAACAAAATATAATAGCTGGTGCCAGATGCTGAGCTATTCAGCAAGTATTTATTAAACATGTGTCAATCACCGACCAGGTATGCACGTGGGACAAGGATGAGGAACAGGGAAAATCAGTCCTCCACTGTGTTATATGAAATAAACAAAGAGCAGAAAGACAGATGAGGAACTCTCTCCCACAAAGGGAAGCTAAAGAAGATGATCACATAGCACTAATGAGTGGAGTGGTACTTAACTGGACTCTAGCAGTCGCTAAGAGGTGCCTGCGAGGAGATCAGGCAGCAAGTACCAAGTACCCAAACACACCCAGGTCAGAGAAACAAGGGCTAGTGTTCTGTGTAGCACACCAAGGTAACTACAGAATACTACTAGTGATTATATATTTTGGGTTGGGGGAGGGTTGTTTTGTTTCGTTTTGGTTGGTTGAGACAGGATTTCTCTCTATAGCCCAGTAGCTGTCCTTGAACTAGCTCTGTAGATCAGGTTGGCCTCGAACTCAGAGATCTGTATGCCTCTGCCTCCCAAGTGCTGGGACTAAAAGCATGTGCTATCGCGCCTGACTTGATTACCTATTTTGTAAAGAACTAGATGAAAGAAGTTTGAAGATTTCCAGAGCAAAGAAATGACAAATGGTTGCAGAGATGGAAAGGTAAATCATGCTGATTTATCATTATCCATTGTACACCTGTATGGAATTCTCCACTGTATTCCATAAACACACACAAAAAAAAGCATTAAGGAGACATATTTCTTACTAAGGGAATCCATTATTTTGGTGCAGAGATGAAGTTCTGATACTTTATAAGTCCTACACCCATATCCAGTTAGAATGACACTCACCAAGGGCATATTCTGTGCTTTTTTTTAAATGTAATAAAACACTGTATAACTACAATATAGCTATTTAAAATATACATACCAAGATAGCATGCAAACTCTGTTATAGAGGGTTATTCTAATGATTAATGAAAGGAACACAACACAAGCTAACTTGAACAAAAAGTTTGTTTTTTTAAATCATGAAACAGCAGGTCAATTAGCACACAGGATCTGGGCATACAGGGCTTTAGTGTTGGCCTGGATTTCTAGATTTTTCTCTCTAATCACTACATCCTTTGCTGTCTCATACCCTGGGGCTCACAATTCCAGCCCAGCAAGAGCAGTACAATAAGACCTTTCTCAAATTCACAGGCCAATCCAATGTTAGAGAAGACCCTGGCTCGCTCTGTAAGGGCTCTGTTCAACCCT